TCCTGGGCTCAAGCAATCCTCTGCCTCAGCCTCCCGAGTAGCTGGGACTACAGGCATGCGCCACCATGCCTGGCTAATTTTTTTTCTATATATTTTTAGTTGTCCAATTAATTTCTTTCTATTTTTAGTAGAGACGGGGTCTCACTCTTGCTCAGGCTGGTCTCGAACACCTGAGCTCAAACAATCCACCCGCCTCGGCCTCCCAGAGTGCTAGGATTACAGGTGTGAGCCACCGCGCCCAGCATTAAGTTTTAAACTACTGCTTCAGTTTCTTTAATTATTATAGGACTATTCATGCTTTTAATTTCTTCTAGAGTCAGTTGTTATAAGTTATATTAATATTTTTCTAAGAATTTGGTCTTCCCATCTGAGTTTTAACTATCTCTATACTTTACATATCATATTAAACCTTTATTATTATTTTTTTGAGACAGAGTCTTGCTCTTTTGCCCCTGGCTAGAATGCAGTGGCATGATCATAGCTCACAGCAACCTCACTCTTCTGGGCTCAAGTGATCCTCCTGCCTCAGCCTCTTGAGTAGCTGGGACTACAGGTGTGCACCACCATGCCTGGCTAATTTTTCTATTTTTAGTAGAGACAGGGTCTGACTGTTGCTTAGGCTGGTCTTGAACTCTTGAGCTCAAGCCATTCTCCCGCCTTGGCCTCCCAGAGTACTAGGATTACAGGCATGTGCCACCATGCCTGGCTCATTATTAATATTTATTTCTATTTTGCCAGCATTTTTCTATTTTTTCAGTTGCTTTTTTCCTCAAAGAATCAACTATTGGCTTTATCAAACTTCTTTATTTTGCCTTTTTGTTTATTGATTTCTGCTCAAGTATATTTTCTTCTTTCTTTGGGCTTGTATGTTAAACTTTCTCTAATTTCTTAGAATGGAGACTCAGAAAAGGAAAAGCCTCAACATTAAACTATTTAAGGCAATATATTTCCTTTGAGGCATTGCCTTTTGTTGTATCCAGCCAGTTTTGATCTTTCATATCATTCAGTTCTAGGTATTTTAAAATTTCCATTCTAATTTATTTTACCCCTGAGTTATTTAGCAACTTAAAAATGCCTATAATCCCAGCACTCTGGGAGGCTGAAGTGGGGAGGATCACTTGAGGCCAGTAGTTGAACACCAGCCTGGGCAACATAGTGAGACCTCCTCTCTCTCAAAAAAAAAAAAACCCCAAAAACCTAAGACTACACACGCACCTGTAGTCCCAGCTACTCAGGAGGCTGAGGCAGGAAGATCGCTTGAGCCCAGGAGTTTGAGGTTGCAGTGAGCTATGATCACACCACTGCAGAGACTGGGCAACAGAGCAAGACCCTATCTTTTTAAAAAACAAAAATCTAAATGTGTGGGAATTTTTTTTTTTTTATCATTTTGTTTGTAACTTCTAACTCAAATGTCTTTTCACAGATTGTGGTATGCTACCTCTGTAAATCTGAGGCTTTCTTTAGGGTTTGGTACATGATTGATTTTTACATTCATTCCATGTGTACTTGAGAAAAAATATGTTCTCTGTTGCACCCATAAGTCTTTGTATATCTTGTGTTGTTTTGATCTCCATATCCTTGCTGGGTTTTGTTTTTTCCCATTTGACCTATCGACAACTGAGGGATGTTTTGAAATCTCTCATTCTCCCCCCGGTGGTGATGGATTTATCGATTTCTCCCTTAAGTATCAGTGTGAGCTTTGTATATTTTTGAGGCTGTTTTATTGTGTGTATAATATTTGAAACTATTATATTTTCTTGATGAACTCAATTTTTTATTATATAGCAACTTTTCCTTCCTTAATGCTTTTGTCCTGAAGTCTATTTTACCTGATAATTATAGGTTTTTTTGGTTAGTATCATCTTGATATGTCTTTTTTACTTTCAGCCTTTGCACAGCTTTATGTGGTGGGTGTCTCTTAGAAGGGGCATGTATCTGGATTTTTAAAAATCCAGTAAGTCAGTATTTTGCCTTTTAACTAGGAAGCTTTATTATAATCATTGATATGCTTGGGCCTATTTCTACCATGTTAATTTACTGTTTTTGTTTGTCCTACTTTTTCTCTTTAATCTTACATTACTATTTTAGGAATTTTATAAGTATGTCTCTTCCTTCTATAAGCACTTAGCATTTCTTCACACCCTTGGTGTACCACTTTTCCCCAAATCCCATCCTGCTAACATTATCTAGACTTCTAATTGTACATTATTATGGGCATATTTTTTTCTTTTTCTTTGGTCCTAGTAATTATTAAAAAAAAACTTTTATCT